TTTGCTTCCTTCACTGTTTCTGTAGGGCTACTGTACACTAGACTGACTTTTTTGGTGGGGCATAAAGCCACGGAAACATTTATTCTGATTCCACACATTTCACATTTTTATTTGTTTTCAGTTAAGATTTAATACAACACTGACTTTTACATCTAATTTTCGACAGATCCGGTGGTTACCACAAGGAAACATTTTGAACGTATAATTGCTCAAATGCAGCACACCTGAAGCTGCATAGCAGAACTGAATTCTAGCGTAACAGGAAGAACAATGCAATTTTTGCAGAGGGGGTAGGTGGGAGAACGGGTGGTATTTGTCAGACTGGTTTACCTGCATTGGGGAGGCACATAACTTCACTATCTCGCCACACCCAGATCTGCATATAAAGTAGCACCCAAAAGATAGAGAGATGCACAACAGAGCTCAACCGCCGCCCGTCCCCTTCATCCTCTCCAGCAGTGACATCTCCACACAGCACGACCATGAGTCTGAGGAACAAGCGTACCACCCGTCCGGGACTACACCAGTCCGCAGGGGGCTTCAGTAGCATGTCCATGGGATCCTACTCCTACCCCCGGATAAGCGGTGGGGCCACCTCCGCGGCCCCGATTACAGCTGTGTCCATTAACAAGAGCCTGCTCGTCCCACTGAACATAGACATCGACCCCACGGTCCATGCCGTTCGCAACCAGGAAAAAGAAGAGATCAAGAGTCTCAACAACCGCTTTGTCTCATTCATTGATAAGGTAAGAGGAAATTTCACAAACATTCTTGTGTGTCGATTTACATTTGATTATTGGCCTTTGGATTGATGTTTAAATTACTAACTTCTGTGATCTCCTGAAAGATGTTAGGATCTGTTTGATTTAGTTGGAACTTGATGCTTGTGCCACAGGTAAGATACCTGGAACAGCAGAACAAAATGCTGGAAACCAAGTGGAAGCTGCTGCAGAACCAAACTGATGCCTCTTCTAACGTTGAGCCCATGCTGAAGTCCTACATTGCCAACCTGCAAAGACAGCTGGAGTTCATCAACAACGACAAACACAGACTTGACATGGAGAGCAATGTCATGCACAAAAATGTGGACGACTACAAGACAAAGTAAGGCATTATTGCGAAAGGAACTGAAGCATTGTTCAATTTGTTTACTAGAGCCGAGGTTCATACATATGGTAACTAGGTGCATACTGATAAGATCTGCCTGAGTAATCTGATATCTGTGGGTGTTTCAGGTATGAAGATGAGATAAACAAGAGGAATGATGCAGAGAATGAGTTTGTCATGCTCAAAAAGGTACAGTATGAAGTCAAGATGGCTTTTATAGATACAAGCCAGATTAAGCTCTGAACCAGTTGTATTAGCTCTATTTATAGTCACTTTTTTAGAAGCAAATGTCCTAGTAATCATTTTTTCCTTGTTGGGCTACAAACCTGTATTAGTAGTTTGTTTCAACATTGTAAAAACGTTTTACTGACTCCCTGCAGGATGTGGACGCAGGCTATATGTCCAAGGTGGATCTAGACGACATGGTGTCTGCACTCAGTAATGAACTCAACTTCCTCAAGGCTGTGTATGATGCGGTACATAACCATACACTGAAAATCTTCTCCAAATTAAAAACAATATATACAGTATTACACACAGTCTATGAGCTTGTTTGTGTCCTCTTACTGTTGCTGTGTGTGTTGTTTTATAAAAAAGGAGCTGTGTGAGCTGCAGGAGAGCCTGAAAGAGACCTCTGTGGTGGTGCAGATGGACAACTCTCGTGGCCTGGACATGGATCAGATCGTGTCTGAGGTTAAGGCTCAGTATGAGGACATTGCCGCTCGCAGCCGTGCAGAAGCTGAAAGCTGGCACAAGGAAAAGGTGAAGAAGATTCTCTTTAAAAAAGGGCTCAACGGTTAATTAAAGCTCATACTAGAATACCCTGTTTTTTTTTTTTTTAGAAATAACTACAGTTGTCAAACCTGATAGCTACTGATCTCACATATTTGTTCTTCTGTTTGATCTCTGCCGCCACCAGTTTAACCAGATGAGTGCTCAGGCAGACCAGTATGGCAATGAGCTGCACAGCACCAAGGCTGAAATATCTGAGCTCAACCGAATGATCAGCCGCCTGCAGAATGAGATCCAGTCTGCAAAGGCACAGGTGAGTGAACCGTTTATAGAGTGCCTGAAAAATCAAAAGGCAACTCGACTTTTCTTTCTGGATATTGCATGCATTAAGTTTTATTTGCTGATAGATGCAGCAAATCAGTGAATAATCAGGTGTAAAAAGGAATGCAAAAATCAACTATATTACATGTAGCAAAATCAAAACTTTTCAAGCTTAATACTCATTAAACTCTTTAAATTCCTAATTATTATGAAGCAGTCAGTCACACATCATCAATGAAATCTTACACTTTTCCAGCGTAACAACCTTGAGGGCCAGATAGTTGAGGCGGAGAAGCGCGGGGAGGAGGCCGTGCAGGATGCCAGGGCTCGCATCAGGGACCTGGAGGTGGCTCTGCAGAGGGCCAAGCAGGACATGGCTCGCCAGCTCAGGGAGTACCAGGAGCTCATGAATGTCAAGCTGGCCCTGGACATAGAGATCTCCACCTACAGGAAACTGCTGGAAGGAGAGGAGGAAAGGTGAGTTGCATTGGCAGAGTGTCAAGTTCAAGATCACCTAATCACTCACTGATTAAAAGCTAATTTAGATTTTTATGGGGAAAAAAGCCTAATTTATTTTATATTTATATATGACGGGTGGTATTTTTATATATACTGATTATATTTATTTATTTATATTTATTCTTCTTTATTTTATTTTATTTTTTTACACATTTGGCAATAAAACCAGTTCTTCATCCACAAAGTTTAAGTTTACTAGAAAAAAAAAGATGACCTGCTTGAAGACTGGAGACAGAGATCTTGGACGGTACACATACAATATAGGTTGGGCTTATTAAAATATGATTTACTACTAAGATGCTCTATAAAACATTGCAGTCTATTAATTTAAAAGTCTGCTCAAATGGTTGGTAGATAATTACCAAAAACCATGCCAGGTGAACCAAAATGATGTTACTGAAGTCAAAAATGTTCTTTGTATTAACTATTTAATCGTTAATACAAAAACTAGCAACCATATAACTTTAGAACAATATAGAAGATGTATAAATCTACATTTTTGGAGAAAAGATTAAAGTATTAATTTACACTTGATGTTTTGGCATAAAGCTGATTATATCCGCCCCCAGTAACTTTCCAACTAATTCCAAGTATCCATGTTGAGTTTCTCACGTTTATAACAAACTAAAGTTCATGAAAACCGGTCGATTGTGTAGTGAGGTCATTGATAACTGGCAGATCTTGACCTCACCAATATGGCGACCGCGCAGACCCATAACGGCGGCACACAGCAGCAGGGAAGCGACTCGTCCAGACGTACATTTGCCAAACCAACCAGTTATTCTTCCTCCTTGAAGTATTTTCTCTTGTAAAATCTTAAAATACAGCTTGAAAGCACTTCCGATAAAACACATATCTCACCTTTGTGTCGCTTGTCTAAGTAAATTTTATAGTGCGGAGTCTTCTTCGCCTTATGGTAATGCGCCACACTGTAGTGTAATGGGCTTATTACTGCCACTTGAGGCCGAAGGATGGAATACAGCCACTGCTAATTGGTGAAAACCGCAGTATACCTTTTTCACAGCATTTTGGACATCAAATAGGGTAAACACACTTGTTACCGATTATACTGATTAAGGTTCTGTTCCATTCAGGTCAAACAGTGCTGTTGTGCATGTTGGCTCACTGGAAAAAGCTCTGCTACACTAAATGAACCTTTATTAGTGTGTTTACCCTACTATTTTATGTAAAAATGGCTGCTGTAAAAGGCCACAAGGGGCAACAATGAACCCACTGCACACAGAAAGAAACTACCATGCAGTTTACAGTCCCCATCATATACAGCAACCCAAAGACCTGCAAGTTCCTCTTAACAACTGTTTACTTTGTCAGTACATCAATGCTCACAGTGTATTTCCTCCTTTCTCTCCGACAGAATTGGACAAGACTCTATTGTCAATATCCAAACAGTGCCCACCAAAAGTAAGTGTTCAACTGAATATAGCACCATGCTTACCACGGGCGTTAGGATTCTTATGCAGTGTGTGTTTGTATGTGATTTTAATTCTGTCCTTTTCCCCGCAGCTGTCCCGGCTAACAACTATCAGCAGCGGAGGTCACCTGCAATTCTCATCAAGACAGTGGAGACCCATGACAGAACATACTAAATCACTAAATCAGAAACAAAAACACTGCAGTACTCTAATCTGTTGGACCGCTGTGAACTAACTCTAAGCTTTATATGAATCTCTTTATAATCTACAATAAGCCAACTGCAACGATGAGCCAAATGTGTGTCATTTGTTTATTTCCATTCTCCATGTGTTTGTCACATTAATTACCACTTGTGTGTTTAAAATAAAGATGTACTCAGCTGCACAATGATTTGTCTTCTTTTTCTTGGGTAATAATTAAGTAGAGACATGGAAGTAGGTACATTTTGTTATATCCTCCTCTTTACATCGCATCAAACATGCTGCAACTTGTCAATGTGACACAGAACAAAAAACAGAGAGAGTCAGAAAGATATATAGTATAGAATAGTTTCATCAAATTGACCTGCTTTTTTCCTTGGTGGTTTTCTGGGGATATTTATATATCCAATCTAGTCTAAAAACAGGTGTAATATTTAATAAAATCATGTTGATGAGACATTAATATCTCCCTCCATTCAACCCTGTGTTTTGCTTCTTATGACTTTTATGTTTGACCTTCACTGTGCAGAATGATGTTATGTGCAGAGTCTGACACTGGAAGACAGTTTTCACATTAATTCACTGAACGGGGAAAAAGTTTCTCTGCTCACTTTGAATCTTAGTTGAACATGTACTTACAATCATGACTAAGAGACATAACAGCTAGTTTGAAAGCCAATCACGGTTCAATATGCAACTTGCACAAGTGCAATACGGAAACTTAAAGCATCCAGTGCACATACACTGAGAATGGACTTAACATGTGTTTAGAAGTACAATTTGGGAAATGAAAAATAACATGTCTGGAGGAGGTGCAGTGATGTACATGTGTACTCAAGGCCCCAGTGATATCACTGTTGGGTATGGTGAAGCAGCGTTGAAACTAGATATAGGCAATTGACAACAACTACAGTCTGTATATTTGCTCCGAACAAAGGAAAAGTATGTAACTGTATCTTATAATAAGAAAGATATAGATCATATATAAAAAACATTTTGTCCTATGAAGTGCTGCCATTCTCTTTCTTTTGGCATAAATTAGACTTTATATCATTTAATTCCAATGCAGACAGCTAGCCAGACTAGGGTTAGCTAGGGCTCTGGAAAAAATACAATGCACTGCTGCTATCCAGTGCCAGTTCAGAGAAACTACAGCTCACAACAGATGTATTACACAACCAGACTGACCTCTGACCAGAGTAGACAAGAAATTTTATGGCCAATGGCAGTTTTTTTTTTTTTTTTTTTTACAGTTTTAACGTTTTTTTAAGCTTAGACTTGGACTTCTTATATGCTAACACATATTCTAAGTTATTTTGTCCTGATAAATACATACATAAATAAACATATTCAAATAGGTTTGTTTTCTGGGATAATTTTTTTATTTATTATTTTTACATTTGCAATATATTAATTCAGATGTGTGTTATGTGTTTCACTGGTGGAAGGAATACTCAGGGAGTAGTTGAAATAGCAATACTACAGTGAAGAAATACTCTGTCACAAGTAAAAGTGTTACGTAAGTAAAACTACAGAAGTACTATAAGCTAAATGTACTCAAAGTATACACAAAGTGTAGTAAAATGGCTCCTATTAGCATCAAAATATACCAAAAGTACCAGAAGTACTCATTATGCAGAAAGGACCATTTCAGAATCATATATATATTATTGGATTATTTTTATTCATGCATTAATAAATATCACTTTAAAGTTGCACCTGGTAGAGGTGGGGTTAATTTGAATTACTATATATACTGCTGAGTAGATATATAATAATACATCATTATTTATTTGTAATTACATATTGTATCAATAATCTGGATCTGCAAAGTAACTAAAGCTGTCAAATAAATGCAGTGGAGTAAAAAGTACAATATTTCCCCTCAGAAATCAGAATCACAATCACAATCTGGTTTATTGCCAAGTAAGTTTTTACACATACAAGAAATTTGCCTTGGTGCATTGGTACATAAAAAAAAATCACAAAATAATAATCAAGTACTTTTAAAATATAAATAAAGATAGATACAGATAAAGAATGGAGTAAAAGTAAGTAAGTAAAAGTTGCATTAAAAGGAATTACTCCAGTAAAAGTTTAGTTACTTTCCACCACTGACATTTTTCTGCCTACAACTTCATTCGGAGCCTATTAAAACAGCTTCAAAGTGTTACAGCTGGGTGGAAAAATCCATTTTCAGTTAGTTGCGACAATCCCTGACGCCTGTAAGGCAGCGCGCAGGGCTTAAAATCACGCTGCACTTCCTGCTTTGAGCTGCTCGTGGTTTAATTGGCAGGTGGCTCGTGTAGTGTGCGACAGCAGCTGCATTCCCAGTGAAGGCGTAACCCACCATTAAAACAAACATCTGTCTGCTTTCTAAAGACATTTTTCTTTGCGACACTTTATTTTGTTTTCCAACAAGACTGCATCCAAGGTAACTGTACTTTCGTGTTATGAATAATGACAATGTGCATCTTACTGTTACTGTCAGACATGTGGGTTGACAGCTTTCAAAGTAGAGGAGTGCAGTTTCTAACACTGTAATTTATTTAAAGAGATGAATGTTTTCCTGCAGTCTATTGTGCTGACTGAGAGTCAATAATATGTTCTGTATTCTTTCAGCAGTGACTTACACAATGGACAAAGACACTGTGTTGACTCACATCCTGAAGGCAAAGGGCACTTCGACACTTCTTGGTGGAGAGGCACCAGTCACTGTGATAAACAACAATGAGTACATATCCCCACTGACTTGTAAACCTCAGGTGACAGACAGAAATGTGGAAGACAACTTGCCCTCCCTTGATCATGCCGTCCACACCGCTCTGTCTGGCGAAATAAAAAATGTCATACTGGTCGGTCCTGAAGGATCAGGTAAAACCACGGCTTTAGAGAAGCTTGTTGTGGACTGGGCAAAAGGAGAACGCCTTCAAAACTTTTCTTATGTTTTCCATTTCCAGTTGAGGGAGTTAAGTTCCCTCAATGGGACGCTCTCCTTGGAGACATTATTGCTTCACCATAATGGCCATATCCCTCCTGAGTCCGTGCCCATGGTTCTGCAGAAGCAGGAGGGTGTGCTGTTTGTTTTTGATGATCTGGATCAGTGCAAAGAGAGCCTGGACCCCTCCATCCACACCCTCTGCTCCGACCCCAGCCAGCCGGCCTCGCTGCCTTGTCTAGTGGCGAGCTTGCTTCATGGGTCACTGCTGAAAGGAGCTGCCTTTGTGGTGGCAACCAGGTCGACAGGATGTGTGACATTTCTGAGTGGCACCCAGGTGCAAGTGTTGGGGTTTCTGAAGCCACAAAGAGAGGCCTACATTAACAGGTTCTTTGCTGATCCAGCTGCTGCCAACAAAGCACTAGTGCACATGGAAAGGACTCTAGGCTTTTATGATATCTGTACCTCCCCAAGATTCTGTTGGACAGTTTGTTCTATGTACAAGTCTCTGATGGGTGCTGGAGAAAAACTCCCTGAGACGCTATCTCAGCTGTATGTAGATATCCTGGTCCACCTGGTTCAGATGCTCTCGTCGAACAAGAGCCGCAACGCAGAACTAGTGTCTTCCCTCGGCAAGATGGCGTCTTACTGCTCCCTTGACCAGCGCTCGAGCTGTACCAAAGAGGAAATGGGTTCCTTTGGTTTTCAACAGTTTCCTACCAAAGCTGACGTTTTCTTGCAAGTAGATGGTGACCAGTCAGATAGATGTGTCTTCTCCTTCTACTCCCAATTGATGCAGGAGTTCCTCTTGGCCGTCTCTTTCTTTATGGACAACTCGATGTCCGAGGGTGTGGAGAAGATGTTGGAAAAGCACAAAGGCCATGCAAAGTTTCTAGATGTCTTCTTGTCAGCGCTCTCAGAGCCGAGTCAGCGCAGACCACTGGAGAGCCTGCTGGGGGAGTTGAACTCTGATCGGATCGTGGATTTCAAATGCTGGTTTAAAAGCAGCTCAGAGACTACACTGAAGGGATTCTACAAAGACAAGCACCACCGCTGCTTCCATATGCTTCATCAAGCTCAAAATGAGAGTTTGGTGAAGGAAGTCCTCACCCCCTCAGTGCGGATAGGTATCAGCTATGGAGACCTGAGCCTCCAGGACTGTGTAGCTCTGAGTTATGTTGTCACGTGCCTCGGTGAGATGGAGCAGTTGAATCTGTACCATACGAGGAATTTGACAGAGGAGGAAGCAGAGAGGCTGGCTCCAGCTATGAGCTTGTCACATAAGATTATGTAAGTCATGATAAAAAAAAAAGAGAAAGAAATGGTGGTATCATTCATTTCATGTGTTGCTGTATGTTATATCGATCTGTTGTGTCCGACAGCTTGTCAGGCAGCTCCTTGACTACTGGGTCTGTCCCTCATCTGGCTTCAGCCCTCAGCAGAGGACTCACCAAGGAGCTGGACCTCTCTCAAACCCGCCTCGGAGATGAAAAGTTTAAAATTCTCTGCGCTGGACTCAGGGACTGCAAGCTGCAGAAATTAAAGTAAGAATACAGCATCTCAAAAAGCAACAATCACTCAGTTCAGTTAACAAGTTCTTGATATGTTGCTTTTGATTTACCTAGACTTGTAGTATGCAGTCTGACAGAAGCAAGCTGTGAAGATCTGGTGTCTGTTCTGACCTCAGGAACCTCTCAGCTGTGTGTGTTAGACATGATGTTTAATCAGATCGAGGACCAGGGCTTCATGAAACTGTGTAAAGCGCTGCATAGTCCACACTGCAAACTACAGGAGCTCCAGTATGTACTAGTATTAAAATTCTTGTTTTGTGTTAGAGCTGTCCATTTATGTTTAAATAATTTATTTTAGGTTTGAAAAATGACCTTGTTTTCTTTATTAAAAGGCTACAGGACTGCGGGTTGACTGCAGCATCAATAGAGGCCTTATCAGCAGCTTTGTGTTCTGGCCAATCAGAGTTGAGAAAAGTGAACTTGACCCAAAATGAGATTGGTCTCAGTGGGGTGGAGGCTTTGTGTAAATCCCTGCAACACCCACTTTGTAAACTGCAGAGCCTCAAGTAAGTGTGTGTTTCAAGATGATAAAACTGCTGTTGTTGCCTTATTGGCTGGATGAGTGTGACACACAAAGGACACTTAAAATACCTCTTCTGAATAGTGTGATAACTCGTTTTTCCGTATTTTTCTGGCATTGGTGACTTTTTGTTTATCTTTTATTTTAGTTTCTTTGATAGTGAGCTGACAGGTGAGTGCTGTCCCGTGTTGATGGCGGCCTTGCTGTCAGAGCACTGTTCTCTGTCAGAGCTGGATCTGTCAGTGAACGATTTGGGCCAGGAGGGGGCGCTGCTGCTCTGCCAAGCCCTCAGTCAACCTGGCTGTCGAATAGAAAAACTCGGGTATTGTACACCTGTATACTCTTTTGACTCGTTAGTGATAAAGTACCACCTTTCACAAATATTTGCTCAAATTCAGATAACTACATATTCCTCTCCACCCTGCAGCTTGAAAAGATGCGAGTTAACCCAGTCAGTCTTCAAGGAACTGGGCTCAGTGCTGAGAAGTGGGACTTCTCAACTTAAGTCCCTGACTATAGGTATAAATCAAGTCGGAGACCAAGGGGTTAAACATCTTTGGGATGCCATTGCACATCCAAACTGTCTGTTGGAGGAACTGGAGTGAGTTCAACATTCCCCTTGAACCATTTTTTCATCCCCACATTGCAGCATGCGCTACATTTAAATCCGTCTGCCTCTCTTTTATCGTAGTGTTGAAATGACTAGTTTGACGGATGCCTGTGTTGGGGACTTGTGTGCTGCTATAAGAGCCAGCAAAACTCTAAAGAGTCTGGAACTGAGAAACAACTCACTGACCGATGCTTCCGTCCCAGCCCTCGTCCAAGTCATGCAGGACAGCCAAAACATGCTGGAGATGAAGTAAGCCTGATTGACTTTGGTTAATTATGAACTATCTTGAGCCAGTTTACTACAAACATTTCAAACTAACATCTAACTGCTGCTTTTGTCTCTGACTCTTTCAGCCTGAAGTACAACGACTTCAGTGAAGATGTCTTTGACTTGTTGGAGGAGTGTGATAAAATAAGATACTGAAGACAGATCGATCCATCAATCTCAGACTGCTGGAGGATCACCTACAGTACTGTATTAAGTGCATCCATCATTTGTCCACAACTGAAAAATTAACTAGTAAAATAACTGTATAGTATATATATATATATATATATAGTGTATTTATAGCATTGGGCTGAATATAAATGAACAAACTAGCAACATGTGATTGGCAGTTTCTTTTGCTATTTCCTGCCATGTTATAGATCAAACAGTTAACTGATTGCAGTTGCAGCCCTACTCATTATACAGTCAAGTTCAACATTCATAATATAATAAAGATCCTACACATCCATCACTGGATTTGACACAATAATGTTTTATTAAGAAACCTTTGGTATTTTAAGAGATCTATCTGCAGTATTTGCAGTTAAGGCAGTGATTTTGTTTTACAGCTGTATAATATATTACCAGTTTCACTAATAAATCTATTTACATGTATAAAATGAGTTTGACGTTAGCAGTGTAGACATGCCAGGGCATTCGCTGCATATTCTAACTTTGAGAACAGGCATAAACGCGCACACGCACACAAACCACACCACACCACACCAAGGTGTAGACAGACCACACACATTTCTCTGTCTACTCCTGTAAGCAAAAAGCAGGTGTAAACCTCACACAGTGTAAACCTGACTCAGTAAGACAGTGCTAAGTCTGTATTCCACACATGGACTTCCCCTGTATCCAAGTCCTCTCTCCATTCAAAACAACTCAGCACATCTTTCTAAGTCTTCTCAGGGGGTCAAAGTGACAAGGTAGGTCAAACAGGCACGCAGGTGAATGAAAACCACACCGGAGATCCCCTCATGGTCCTCAGTGGTCATGAGTTTCCCCATTAAGGTTACCAGTATGACTGCTGTCCTTTGGTTTTATGGTCTGACTGGGATTTTTACTGCAATTTGAATAAATCTCCTCGTCTGAGCTGCTCTCAATGTCACTGCGGTCATCTTTCGATACCTGTAAAATGAAACACAAATAGGAACGACAATTAGAATAGTGAGGACAGTAAAAAGACAAAGTGTACAGACACAGTAGCAGCTCTGTGAGGCTGTCAGCATGCTAATATGCACACAGTGACAATGCTAACATCCTGATGCAGGTAATGTTTACCACAGTCAGCATCGTAGTGCAGTGTTAGCACTTTCTAATAAGCACTAAATACAAAGTATGGCTGAGGCTGATGTCATTAGTTTCACAGATAAACGACGAATTAAAACCAAATTTATTGGCAATTCACCCGATACCTGTCGCGACATTTCACTCGAAAACACAAATTTCAACCTGCTGGTGACACTTGAGGAAAAGTCAGGGGATCACTAAAGTCAGCCGGATTCATCATTTGGCAACAATGAATATCTTTAAGTAGATTTGGAGAATATTCACTGGATCAGGTGGTGCTAGATTCAATATTTTACTACAAAACACAGATGTTAACCCCATGGTGGTGCCAGAGGTAACATCAGAGGATTACCAAAGCAAGTGTGAGCCATTCTGTGGGGACCACGGATTTCATAACAATCCATCCAATACTAGAGATATTTCTGACTGAACCAAACTGATGGAACTGACCAACATTGCAGTCCATAAAACTACACAGTTAGGACGGTTAAACACTGAACTACACATCAGACGAACCTTTCCCTTGAATATGGCTTTGATAGCAATGCGAGCAATGAGGTAGAACCAGATGATGTGAAGAGCCTGCAGCACCAACAGCAACCCATTGAGCAACCACCAGGCCCGGTATGGCCCGATGATCTCCCAGCTCTCAACCAGAACACTGTGAACAACCCTGCAACGAATACACACACAGAGGTTACTGG